TTTTTGCACGTTGGGCTTTTCATACGGTCCCGAAAAGGCTAGTGTGTACACATGCATGATCCAATAACGGATAATCTCAAATATTTGTGTATAAAAATGTGTGGTTTATTGACGAAGGGAAGATCTTTTCCACCCTCTCTGGCTACGCCACTGGGTCTTTGCAAAGCAAAGGTTCTATAGCTATAAATGGTGTCTGGACACACAACATTGCAAGCTGATAAAAGCGTTGTAATAGTAAAATGAATATGTAATATTTAGTAGATAAAATTAAAAAACAAATTTCGTTTTCGACGACCATTAGTACTCTAGGGTTAATAAACGACTTAAGTAGTTACCCAACACTATTAACAATAAAGTGTGCATTTTAGTTAAATATCTTATAAATTTTATTTGGAGAGAATTGGTTTATACATATTCACAATGAAGTAAAAATTTAATTTTAGAAATATATTTATTACTAAAATCCTTCTCTGCGAGCTTTCTATTCCGCAAAAGAATCTATAACATCATCAAAGTTTAAAGATAGAGCCAGAATAGCCAAGTTACGTAGTATGTCTTGTCCCAGAGAGTTTCTCAAATAGGTTGTTATTAATTTTAGTTTCAAAAATGATCGTTCAGCACTAGCTGTAGGCACAGGAATTGAGGCAAATAACACTAATGCAGAAACAAGTGCCGATTTATATCCAATGTGTGCGGTGCGCGTTCATTTCTCTTGTGACTCGCATGCGATCTAAATGGAAATATAGTATAGTTTAACTAGTAGCTAACGTTAAAGACCACATACTTGTTTCGGTTTATATATGATGACAAACATCATCCTGTATTATTCAAAATTTTATATTTTTACTAGCAGCTCGGCGACCTTCGTCCCACCCAAAATAAATTTTTTATATTGAAAAATTTTGGTCCAACATTTTTTCACCAACAGTTCACGTTCAGTATTTTCAGTGACGCATTTAACTTGTAATATTACGGTTTGGTGGTTGTCAGAAGGCATATTTCCATTGCCGTCTTAAATTACCTAGCAAAAGTGTATATGCATACAAATATATTACATAATAATTTCAGTGAGTTTGAAAGGCGCCACGCCCCTTTTCAAATAGTCCAATTTTCTCTAAGAGAATGGGATTGATTTCATACCTCAATACCATGTTCGAGTAATTTACCATGAACACTTCCAGAGATATGCAGTATGAAATATTCGATTTGTATGGGATGTTGCATGTTCCCTTTTCCAATAACCACAATTTTTCTTCATGAGTATGCGATTGTTTTCATATATCTCCATACCATGTTCGAGTACTCTACCATGAACACTTCCAGAGATATATAATATCAAAAATTCCGTTTGTATGGGAGGTGACACGCCCCCTGCACCTAGCGGTATGAAATATACTTTACATTTGATTCTCATAGCTACTACATATACACAAAAAATTTCATAAAGATCGGTTGAGCCGTTTAGGCTGAGTTCGACCACAAACACCGTGACACGAGATTTTTATATATTAGATAGTTTCTTTGAACCTTGATCATTATTGAAATACTTTAGTTTAATTTTTAACTTTGCAGGATTCGCAAAGTTTTCCGTACGTGTGATGTTATACAGAACCGTCGAGAGAAAACTTGGGCCCAGGACAAAAAACTCACTATATATAAATTGTATTAATTTAAAAGCATATGGCCCAAATCGCCGAAAACGAAACCAAGGGAAACAATTTTTTTCTCAGGTTTCCGAGAATTTTGATTATATTGGGTTGTACATATTCTGAGGTATGAGACAATATAAATATTAACACGATCTCCTTCCTTAAACATGAAAATTCACTTAACCATGAGACACCTTTAAATTAATGAAAATTAAAAAAAATCGTGAGTACTAGGTACTCATGAAATTTTATGTGTATGTAAACATATGCAAACAGCAAAACATAAAAGTACGTTTACATATAAATATAATCCCAATCAAAGCTCGTTAGCTGTCAAATTGGTTGTGCTTGGTAAACTTCTTCTGTGTGCCACCATGGTCACTTTTTTCTGCAGACACATTATACCATTTAAATATATTTTAACTGAATATTTTATTAAAAATACCTATACAAACCTCTTTTCCTTACTAGCGTCAATTTTTTTTTGTTTACTTTTAACATTTCACATTCCTCCTCTTCTTCGCCAGTTTAATCGATAAAACTAGGTTGAACACTAAAAAGTCATCGGTTTAATCTGGCATAATTTTATAATTATAATTTTGTATGGCTAATCGCTTTTTCTAATTACAGATTAGGGAGTTAAGCTCGAAAATGTGGATAATCACTTTATATGTAAGGCTATGCTTAGGCGATTCAGTTACATACATACACTTTGTAGGTTAGAAATTAACATTAACATTAGAAATTAAACATTAATTTCAGTTAATTTTATTCATTTTGCTGATTTAATTTTTTTACTCATTTTAATTTTGAATTCTTGTAATACACGAAATTATCGGTATGATTGATAAAATATGATGCTTGTATATACTTGTCACTCAAGGGCGTTAAAATATCT